TATTTTGAATCGTAATTCAATGGATTTTCCGGTTCTTTATTTAAAATATCGATGTTGATTTTTATATTTAAATATAAAATCACCCTAGCATCACACTATAATTAATATTAAACTTATTATATAGTATACTATACTATATATAAGTTTAATATATAGAGAATGTTATTGTATTTAAAATTTGAAGTTACTTTGAGGTTTGTACTATTTTACTTTTGCATTCGATTAATATTTCCTATACTAAAAATTCCTAAAAGTTTCAGAATAATATGAATTACTTGTCTTTTCTCGTGATATATTTCATTACCTACCGTGAACTAAATCTGCAAATTTAAAAAAAAATATCGACACTGATAAATACAATATATAAGCGTAATGTTTTTGGAGAGTTATACAAACAAACTCGACCTTTAGAGTTATACTTAGCGCTAATCCTCGACTCTGAATCTTACTCCAAGTCCTTGGAGAACTCTCGGGTTGCTAACCACTCCGAAGTGTGAGTATCGCAGACTAACTGTAGGTCGCATCGCGTCTCGTATGTATCATCTACGCTAAAAATATAGTTAATTATTTATAAACCATTAGTCGAAATATTTGAATTTAGAAATTTTCATCATGTGATCTACTTACTATGGGAGTGACACCAGTTGTATTTTCTAAAGGAAATAAAACCGGCTCCAAACACGAGTAGAATTAATTAAGAAACATCCTGATTTAATTTAGTGCGTTGTAAAAGTTTTAGTACACTGGAATTTTAGCTGGAACTATTAAAATTCTTTATAGATAACATTTTTATCGATAACCTTATGCATATTCATGTTTAAATAGCAAAGTATAATTCACGTAAGTAGGTACACTTTCTAGATGAAGTTATTTTTAAATTTTGTTCTTTTAGTGACGATGAAATTTCAATGATTTCCATTGGCATAACCTGTGTAACAGCAACAGATTTAAACTAAAGCTAAATATTCTGAATTTTATTGTAATTTATTTACTTATTAGGCATAGAAAATGCCTGTTAATCACGAGATATAAGCAATGTTGGCCTAGTGGCTTCAGCGTTCGACTCTCATCCCTGAGGTCGTAGATTTGATATCCCGCTGTGCACCAATGGACTTTCTTTCTATGTGTGCACATAACATTCGCTCGAATGGTCAAGGAAAACATCGTGAGGAAACCGACATGTCTTAGACCCAAAAAGTCGACGGCGTGTGTCAGCTCAGGAGGCTGATAACCTACTTGCCTATTAGATTTAGAAATCATGAAACAGATTTAGAAATCTGAGGCCCAGACCTAAAGAGGTTGTAGTGCCACTGATTTATTTGTTTATTTGATTCATCACGAGATCATCACCATTGTGGATGAAAACGTGTTTAATTATAAAATTTTAACAATTATGACGAATATAAAACTGTTCAGACGTGCTGATGGCCAGAAAATTAATAACTTCTAAAACTTCGATGGTTTATTGCTGTTTTATATATAGCTTAATCAAATAAATACTTCCCCATCTTAAACTAATCTGTAAAAAATGTATGTTATTACACCGTGTTAACAACCGCTGATTAAGTTATTATATTAAAATATGAGCATTTTATACGCTTTAATTTTGCTAATTAAATTAAAATTATATCATTAAAATGTGGAACGTTTAGAATAATTGCGTATAACAATTAATCTTTCGTAATTTGAATTTTAATAATTTAATTGTAAAATAACTAGACTGAAACTTCGGTAATTGTTATGGGTCAAAATTTCTTGCAAATCATTTTCATTTTTAGTAAACTATTTGACGCAACATTTAAGTAATACCTTCGTAGGTATTTCTAAATTATTGCCTTTTCCTACTTACTTTATTTTTCAGTGCAATATTTTTTGTGGAAATCGCTAATCAACATTATTTCTGAAAGATTAAATTTGAACGATAACATTGCATGTGTTTGGCTTCGGCCCTGTCGCGGTGTCGTCTGTACATTGGTGTCATGTAATTAACTGTTACAGGGGAAGGTTTCGCATAGTATATAGATAATACCGGAAAATAAACAAATTAAAATATCCTACCAAACGTATCAAATCAGTATCCGCAATGTCCACAAGCAATATTCACACACAAAAAATATATAAATCTTACCTAAATATATCTTATGGGAAACAGAAACTTTTACTGTATATTTTTGGATTATAAAACTGACAACATCTACCTAAGGACATTGACAGGGGAAAGATTCGGAGTATCCTCTTATTGGCTTGAGATTGTGTATCAAGATGGGCACATCTGTAAAGCTGTAAACGGAGGCTATATTCGACAAATTAATTAAAGCGCTGTCATCACCACTATAACTATACCTACCCGTCGAAGTATTTTCGGACCAGTATGAAAGAAAAAGCTTACCAATTCTTCAGAGGCGAGTCTTTTGTTTGTTTATGCTATGGAATTATTTTGTGAAAAATCACGGAGAATTTTTCATGATATATTTCAAATAACTACATGTTTATGGTACCTATATACCTAGGTAGGTACCTTTCCCAAAGACTAGTTGTTAACGCGTACTGTCCTAATCTTGGGGGCAAGGGTTGCAACTTTGGTTGTGAATTAATTTATTTTTTACTTTAATTGCTTCTACAGTGACGGAAAACATCATAGGAAAACCGGCAGTCCCAACAACGTACGTGTGTGACGTGTGAAGCAAATACTAAAAGTCTGATGTAAACACTTAGTTGTAGCGCCATTTGAAGAAAAATATATAATTGACATTAAGGATCGAACAATTAAATGTTATCGAAAGCCGATCGATATCTACCGATACTGTCAAAAATCGTTGGTGGCACCTATTTAATCATGTCGATGCACCTGCCACATACATATTCATTAACCAGATATCGGCTACCGTTTGCTATCAATGTTTTCGCGACATTGCAATGAATACGATACGTTAAATTTATTTAATTACTGTTTTATCGAAAGGTCAAAACAGCGCTTTGGATGTATGAAATCTTGTTGTAGGTATAATATTTTATTAGTAGGTTATTTAAATCAATCCAGTCTAACTTGACATTATTGTAGAGTTGGGTATAGTTTTAATTAAAATTAAAATATTTATTTATATATTTTAACATTGTAACAAACCATAAAAATTATTGCAATGCTTTTTATTATTTTTAGCTTTGCTAATAATAATATTATATTTGCAATAATATGGTACAAAAATATTATGGTGGTACAATCTAAAGTTCGCACATTCTGCCACACATACCTGATGGCGTGCAAAAATTGTTTTAAAAGGTAGAACAGAAGTTACAATTCTTATATTGTTTTATCACTACATCATCACATTATTAAAATACATTATTACGTTATCAAAATAATATTAATCATAATGTTTCACGCAAATAATCATTAATAGAATAATACTTTTATCGAAGCTTTCACGATTTATGTAATTAATAGTATTGGGATAGTAAAACGATCCACGTGGATAATAAAAGTATTTATTTACATTTTTTTACTTCATCTAATTAAAATTTAATAGATGCTTCACCGGCAGGCAAAGCCTAAAGCTTAAAATCATATTATGTTAATTTAACCAATTAGAATCGCAAAACGAAAGAAATATGCAAAACGGAGACGAATTTAATTTAAAATGAGATCCGTCTACGTTCCGCTTGGGCCCGCGTCGATCGGAACGAAATTGAAAAAGAGAAAAAAATCCGAGAGCGGAATAAATAAAAATAGATATCCCGCTACAGCGCAAGTCGCCGTTGAAATGAAAATAAAACAGCACAATGCTTTTGTGGACGAAATAAATTAAAAAGTGTGTCGCGATTTTGCGAGCAAACTGTAGTTTCGAAACGTGCCCTGTAGGTATATTGAATAGTTTTCGCGCAATATTTCAATGATGTTCAATTTAAATTCTATTTGTGAGAATTATCTCGTGTACAATCATTTAGTTTAATGTTTGTGCACGCGTACTCTATTCGGGATTATAGGTACACAATAATCCCGAACCAAACCTACATAGGATGAGGAAAGAGGAAGAACAATTGTTCCAATTCCCAGGAAAATAAAATTGTTCCGCTTTAGTAGCATCCACCATACCTATAAATAAACAACGAAACACTACTTCAACCAATACAAGACCAACGCATCCTTAAAATATGAACCTTTCATAAATGGAGTTCACTCAAATCGATCATAGCTAATGCACTCAAAACAATGTCTACGCATTAATAGGGGGAAAGTTTTACCTAAATTATATTTGTGGGTCGTCACGGTGTCCCGGGGTGAGGGGTGAGGGGGAGGGCGATTAGAGGGGTCCTCCGGCCTCATCGTAGGTGGAATTTTGTTCCCTATTCATAGACACGCCGCTTTAGAAAATGACGAACGATATTTTTTTGTGTAAAATAAAATATGAAATATTTCACTATAGCAACAAATTAACACGATTATTTTTTTTTAAATAAATATGTTAATAGTGATGGATTGCCGGAGGCTTTGTAAAAGAGCGAAGATAATATTTTTAATTATCTTTATTTATAAAGCCCAGCTTTCTCATACTCAGGTGTTTGCGTTTCTTATTAAAATATTTAAGAAATAACACTCGTACTATAAATATACAAAGTCCTCCAAGCACTTAAGCCGAAGGGCAATAGGGCACTTTGTGAACGCACACCGAAGTTCAAATGTACTCTGCCTAAAACCAAAGTTTTGTATTAAGGAGAGCCACTTACTTGTCTTAAAAGATGTCATGAATAAACTAAACCGAATGAATTTCACTTTTGTACTTATACACAAATATTTATACCAAATTTGAATTCTGTCTTTATTTATTTATTAATTTAGCAGTAAATGTAGTTTTGTTCATCATTCGTTGAACTCTTACCTAAATAAGCTCGAAGCTATATCAAACCACTTATGCACGTTGATGAAGGTAACAGCTCGTTAGGCAAGCGTAAAGATGCTGTTAAAGGAAGTTTGTGAAGAATTTTTAATCAGGTGACGCGGGATGAGGGGCGGCCTCGGTCGGTCGGCGCGGCAGTGCGCCGCGCGCGGCCGTCGCGCCGCCCGCCCTGCTGTCGTGCCGCCCGCCCAGCAGTCGCCCGCGGACGCTTGCGTCGCCAGCAGTCGCCGCCGCCCCAGCGATGCCGTCCGACGCACGCTATTCCGCGCGAATAGCCACGCTCGCGATCTAAGCCCCCGCGCTCACCACGAAACTGAATAAGTTCGACAAATCCTCCTCCTACCTGGACCACTATATAGACGGACGTGTTAACACTTATAGTTCGATAGTTTTTCATTTTCTAGTACAAAATTGTATATCTTCGGTAGAGAGATGAGATTAGTATTTTTAAAGTACAAAGTATTATGTAGCAGCGCCGTAGCGTTTATAGATTATCTTCAAATAAATACAGGGTCAGTTTTGTATGAATTCATTGTGATTGTAGATTAAGCTGAAAGGAGAACTCTAATTTTTTTCTGTGTTAATCAGGAGTGTTTTCAGGTAAGCGTATTCAAACGTAATGTGTCTAACCTACATCATTGCAAAATCGCTTAAAATAACACCAAGCTGCGCCAACTACCTAAACCTCGAGAATGACGTATCGTTTATGATCGATAACTCTTTAATTATGTTGTTACTAAGCTGCGATAACGCAATGATTTAAGACACGAAGATCACGGCAGTTGACAAACACACGGTTGTCGACCGACAACATTTCGTACCTTCGCGATCCGAGAATTGTTTGTCCCGCCTCAAACAATATATATTTAGACTGAAACAAATGCCGATCGTAAATCGAATGCCCTGCGATTGTTTTGAATATAGACATGAAACATAGCAGCAAAACAAAGTCGATCGCTGTATGCAACTCTGTGCGCGCCCAAACTTTGATTAATAATTTCCCAGCATGCATCTGCGGTTCATTATGATGCATTGTTTTTGTTTGTTAAATAAATTACATGATAGATTGATATAGCACCTGAAGTTTACATGAGGAATCGCCGGTCGAATGGCCTTTGTTTTTCGCTTTCTCTTGGATCGTTAATCATTTTATCATTTCGCTTCGAGTAATAAATAAGAGCATAAAAGAGGTGGACGATCGAATAAAAGTTTATTAAAATTATCTGTTAATCGAACTATGTCATATAATTCATGCGTCTCCAAGTGTGAAGAACCATACAAATTTAAATTCACACATACATATCACCTAATTTGCAGTTAAATGCTACATTAGTGTCGCTCTCTATGCTCATGGGAAATGTTGAAGAGACAAGAAAAAATATAAAACGGAAAGGAACGTGTTACTTTTTAAATGTCGGTTTGAATTTAAATTTTAAATTAATGTCAAGTGTAGTTAAATTCTCTACAAATATCTGTGGTCAATTGAAACAATACAACAAAAAATACGTTTATACAATTCATATTACAGCAAAAAATTTAAAAAACAATGACTACAGTAAATCATATCCAAATTCTTTGTGTGTCAAGCATTTTTGTTCAAAGTTGCGTCGACTAACGGTGCAATACAATGTCTCAAAAGGTAACAATGACGATCTTGCGCAAGATTTTATTTTGTTCACGAAAAATCGTGAACATTTGAAATTGTATTGTTTGTGGCGCGAGGGTGGCCGGTGAAAGCTCGCTTTGTGATTTTAATATGCGAGACCTCTCATTTGTATAAATCGATGGTTCCTCAACTTTTCGTATCTCATTTAAATGTGTATTTATTTTAAATTCATGTTAAGGCTTTCTTACTTCGAAGAAAATTACAGTAGTTAATGTAGCGTTTGTTTAGACTTTGCGCACAGTTATATTATTATATATACTTAAGTTGAATCATAGATTTAGCTTTAAGAAATATATAATTGATGATTGACGGTATCAAAATATGCAACTTTGCAATATCCAGCGATCATATCAGTTGTAGGAAAAAGGTTAAAAGAAATAAAACATGTTACAATACGCCAATAAAAACATCGTATCACCACAACACAGCATGTCTGCCATTTGTGCACGATTGCAAAATAAATCATTTCTGAAACAAGTAATTAAAATACTAGTGGACGCCAGAATCAGGCATTCGAAATAACGGGTGGCAGTGAGATGCAAAAACATTAAAGTGTTATTGCGAATATGCATAATTGTATAAATATGTTTGGTGAGTCGTTTGAATATCCTTTATGTTATCTAAACATCCACATTTTAAAAAATAGAATTACAACACCATCTTGCTATTGCTACCCTCGGCATATATTTTCATACGTCACAGTATGTTTTATAATAGCCCTCTGCGATTTAAAAATTAACCGCTGTCTCCTCTCAATTGCAGGACATTTAAATTTATATACATTTTCATTCCGACCCGGAATCAAACCCGATACCCCACAGTCACGGTAGTAGGTTAAATACAGGAATCCACCTCAATTTGTTTATCTTAAATTCACATTTATAACCGTCTATGACCAGATTTCTAATACCACATTAACATGAATAAATTAGCCAAATCAAATTCAAAACATCACAGGAAGCATAAATTCAATAAAAAAGCGGAAAGATGATCGTAAAAAAACTAGACGCCACAAAATCAGCTGCTTGACGACATTTATCACTTCAATCATAAAACAAGCTGTTAAAGCAACAATCTCAATATACCAATTAAGGTTAGTATTACGAGCTAAACGGTCGTCGGCAGTTAATGCTCAAATAGCTCAGCTGACTACCTACAAACAAATACGCAACCATTTGAAAATTGTTGCCCTTTAGTAATAAGGTGTTTTCATGCTCGTTAAATTTAATAGGATTTTAAATGTTGAAGTGACACCTTCAACTCACTGTCGTTATGTTTATGTCATAATATTGCAATTATATTTATATGATCAGTGAGTTTCCAATTACTAATGAAGATACATACTTTAAAATCGTTTAATAAACTTATTTTGTTTCAATTGTCGAGTTCAGCGTCCTTGTACAAGTTTTATTGGGCCTACTGTACCCCGGCAATAAAGTATGTGATATGATACTGCAGCACACAAAGATGCTATTAAAGCTTCTCTGTCCATTCGACTATCTTAAATCTAAAATACATGATATTGAGAATTAACCTATATATTTGTGATAATATATTACTAACCCAATTTAGTGTCGCAATACAAATTAAAAAGCGACATTTTTTCCATGAGAGTGATTTATTGTTCAGTTAACGTTATGTAAATTATATAATTAAAGCTAGTTAATATATTCAACCTATGACTCATCATATTAAACCCACTTGTAAACATAATTACTTCAAATCCATCAAACATGTTATAAAAATATTGTTAAGCTTCTATTAAAGTATATCGTTATTTGTTTGTTAATAGTATCTTAGATGATATGTGACTTTAATATATAGATAACATTTTATATGGATCGATGATAATGCGTGTTTTTGTGTGTTAATATCCTTAAAAAAACATATTTCTTGTTTGTATTTATTACTAAGAGAGTCAACTATTAAGTGTTAATTATTATATTTATATACACGGGATATAAAGATCCTTTTATGCTGTTTTGTGAAGCGGTGTCCAGGTCCATCGATTTCGTTAGACAATTTTGGAGCTTCCAAATGGATATCAAGTCAGACTTTGTTACATAAAGCAATGTAGGTAACTTTTATAGTGTGTTTAGTATTTTTATGAGTTTTATATAAAGTAAAATACAGTCAAAAATTCTACATTAAGGTATGATTTATAATTTTGTTGTTTAGCCAAGTGACGTAAGAACAACGAATAGCTCTTAAGACATACCTATTCTTACGATTATGAATAAGAGGAATCAGCTTACGAAGGTAGCTTTGGTAGTTTATAGAAATTATATAGCAATACTGATAGAACTAAGACCATCACGGACGACCAATACAAGCCTGAAGGCGAATCGTCTATATTTATAGGAGCCAATTAAGCAAACGCCATTGGTATCAGCTCATCTTATAGACGCGGATATATTGCGTGACTGAGAACACAGAGTTGCTTGTCGCCGCGTGCGCCGGCTTTTAAATTGTTATGTATCAGATCCCACATCTTCACCTAGGGTTACCAATAAAACTACATTTTGAACCTTAAAAAGAACATCTAACGTTGGTATTACCGGAAGTAAGAGGTATTACAGAGCGAACACATGTAGCAACCCTATGCCATGTTTATGATGCCCGTTTAGTACGTCTTTATAAACTATTCAAGCAATGCCATGAATTTTATTTGACCACGATTCCGTGTTACAATTTGTTATCTATTTTTATTTCGTAATAAAAATCGGGATTAACGACATGTTTGCATTAAACAATAATCCGAAAGTCGCTTTAAATCACACCTTAGTACCCAACTGTGATATTATTAAATTATTTTGTTAGAATTTATATGAATATCATTTGACATACGCACATAAATTATATATGTATTAAATTGTTGGAACTTTTAAAACAGCTTCTGTATAAAACTGATATTAATAACAGGTTAATAAGCGTCGAAATTAAAAAAAAAACACGATATCTCTAGTATCACAAAATCTATTTGTACATCTGGGAAGTCCCCTTTTAATAAATTAATTTCTAAATGAATCCAAGTGCCTACGATTTAAATACATACCTAAATATTTGGGCACGAAGATTGAAGAACGGTATAATGTGGCAGACATTTTAGGTCTATCTAAGAAATACCCGATGAATGAAGATTTTCTTCCAATCCCTGTTTGCTATGCGGGTCGTATCAGCCAGTGATTTTTGCTCGATGTCGACACAGCTCGAAATGTATTAGTGGATATAACGCCTACAGAATAAGACCCTTGAATGTGATCGGAATTCTCTATTGGATAACTTTCGGGTACTAATCTTGATAAATTGCTTTTTTCGTAATACTAGACTGTTGAGATTCGACCTAACGACCTAACTTGTAGGAGTTCTATTAGGAATGAGAAGTTTAGAAATGTCATCGATTAAATCTCTTATTGTGTAATCATTTAAATTAATAATTAAAAAACTGTAAAAATAATCGATTCCTGATTAACTATATGCATGTTTAACAGTTTTACCTCGGATTGCATTTAAGGTAAATTAATTATTATCCTTATATTTCAAGCCATTGAATGATGACTCTGAGTAGGTAGCGACTTAATGTTAGTATCAAAACTGAACATACAAGAAATTACCATTTTCATTTGTCAAATCATAAATGCGTTTAAAGTAAAAA